CCCAGTTTCTTTTGTAAAATGGGGATAAGAGAGCCTCAGAGAAGACCTGTATAGAGTAAATGATGTAACAGCGCTTAGCATAATGCTTGAATATATAGTAAACATTCAGTCAGTAAGAAGCTTTTATTACTACTGTCATCCCAGTCAATGAGAAGCATTTGAACTCTGCAGTTCTGTGGTTGCTCCAACAAGCAGAAGAAAAGTCAATTTGTGTATAAACTTCTAAAGGGCAAGGACAGACTATTTCCTCAGTATCCCTCTCAACATTCGGCTTGGTCCTGGATATTAGAAACGAACATTGATTGAATCTGAGTTAATCCTACCTACTACAAGTGCAGAATGTAATATACGAACATATACCAAGATAATAAATAAAGATTTGGGGTAAGACAGGTTCACCACAAATACTAAAGAAAAAAAAAATGCTTCAATTCAGATTCCTCAACTCAAACATCACGATCATCTAAAAAAACTATCTCCAAAGCATCCCAAATCTCCTCTCTTCTCCAAACACTCACAAGTATCTAGGAAAAGGTAACAGACAGATGAAAACCACATGTAGTCAAAGGACTTTTCATATCCAAGGTCCATCGATGGGATGGCTAAGTACCAGGTCTCAAGTACCTTCAAGCCTACCTTGAGATATTTCTTATTCTCCTCTCCTGCTTTCCTTCTCACCACATCACCATCCAACTCCACACACACACACACACACACACACACAGTTTTAAAACAGCATCTATTTACTATCTCACCGTTTCTATAGGTCAGAAGTCCAGGCACAATACGACTGGTAACGGCCACGGTTGCTTTCTCATACAAGGCTGGGACCTCTTTCAAGCTCACTGGTTGTTGGCAAACCCCACTGCCTTATGGATGAAGGACTGAGGTCCCCACTTCCTTCCTAACAGCCAGAGACTGCTCTAGTCACCCTGCAGTTCCTGACCACATGGCCTCATGGGCAGTTCACACATGGGTGTGTGCTTTTTTCTAAGCCAGTTGGAGCATCTCTGCCCTCTTCTGCAATCAGCTGAGAAAACTCTCTGCTTTCAAAGGGCTAGCATGATTAGACCCTGTCCACCATGATAGTCTCTCTATCTGAAGGTCAAATGACTTGGGACCTTAATTAATTACATCTACAAGTCCCTTCACAGTAGTACCAACATTCATGTTTAACTGGAAGAGGTGTGTATATACCAAAGGCCAGGAATCTTGGTTTATGGTTGGGCTATGGTTGGTAGAATCACCTATTGTCTATCTCACCTGCCAGAAGGTAAGCTTAGTGAAGAGAGGCATTTTTGTCTCTTTTTTTTCACTGTTGTATCCCTAGCATTTACAATAGTGCCTGGCAATACGATAGGTGCTCAATAAACATGTGTTAAAGAAATCTTTATATCACTACAATAGTGTTTCCCTCTCCTGCCATATAGACACACGTATATTTATAAATATATGTATTTAGTTTATTTACAGGCTTGAAATGGAATTTCTAACTGTATATATTAAAATTCTGGTTCAGTAAAACCATTTAGGAGTCCTTGGAATTTCATATAATTTTCTCTCTGCCACAATTATTTGAACGGCTTTAACGAAATATGGTTGATTCTTATTATTCATGGATTCCACATTTGTGAATCTGCCTACTTGCGAAAATTTATTTGTAACCCCAAAATCAATACTCTCGGTGCTCTCGCGGTCATTTGCGGACATACAGAGTGGTGAAAAGTCTGAATCACCTAATGCACATGTTCCAGCTTAGGCAGAACAAGGCAACACTCTACTTTCTTGTTTCAGCTCTCATACTGTAAATGTGTCCTTTTCATGGTCTATTCAGGGCCATGCTTTTTGCCTTTTTGTGGTTTTTTAACTGATTTCTCTGTATGTTAGTTAAGCTTCGTTCAGGTATGCATTATCATACTATTGGCCTTGAGTTCAATGTTAAATAATCGACAATGTATATTAAACGAGGAGTCTTTAAACAAGGAGTCATAACACAAGATTATGTACTGATCCGTTGATGAAAATGTTGTGAACAGTAACTCACAAGACCCGAACCCTGTATTTTTCCTAGAAGCAATGGTTCGGTATTCGCTAATTGTGTTCAAGTTGACTTTATGGAACATAACTGCCACAAATGAGATGACTGTTTTAGCCCCCTTTTACAGATGAAACAATGAAGTTAAGAGAGAGGTGAAATGGCAGCTCCTGGCAAACTCTAGCACATCATCTTGGGTTATTTTCTTCATAACACTCATGACTGATAATTGTGTATACTTATTTATCTTCAGTGTAAGCCGCTGCAATTTTAAGTTCCACGAAAGTTAGGCATTTAGGGATCTTTGTCTATCTTGTTCTCTGTTATTTCCCCTTGCCAAGAACTATGCCAAGCACATACCCAACCAAATGAATAAAGAATTCTCCGATATGTAATTGTGTAAATATTAGGAGTGAGTGATACTTTAAAGGGAAAGGCAGTTACTTTCCTTGTGTTAAATTCAAAATATTTAGCAACACAACTGCAGGCTTAAGGCTAAGTGGAGAGAGAAGAAAACCAAAAAGAACCGCAGAGCTGCATGAAGTGACAATGTCTCTGAAACCCAGAGCGTAGGTGATATCACCTGGGATGGAAACTTCACAGCTAAACTCTGGCAGCTCTATGGAGTAAGGGAAGGAAAGATTCACTCTGCAATAGTAGTTTTGTGTGGTGTTATATTTATCTATGATGGAGAAGCCAAGCAGGCAGAGCAACTAGACATGGGTAGAGATGGTGCCTCTGGAACTCAAGCTCGGATTAAACTGTGTGAGAGAGAAACTGAAGCCAGCAAAAACCAAGAGCATGTACTTGAACCTGGCCAGGAGGCAGTGCCTACAGAGTGAGAAATGCAAGTTAGACTGTGGGGTACTGTCAGGTTTGAGGAGCTGATTCCTTAAAAAGGTTTCGGCAATCCAAGCCCAGGAAGAACTGACAGGCTATGGATGCCTGCAGTACTTGTAGCAGCAGCAAGGCTGATGAGAAAGAAGACTCTAGGATTTTCTTTGTATAAATACAGAGAGGAAAAATGAGATAAGACCCTCTTACATCAACCCCTATTATAACAGACAAATAACACAAGAATTAAAGACAAAAAGGCGGGATTCCAGAATTAATGTTCACTGTTGCTCTGAGCAAAAACTGAACAGTAAATAATAAGAATTTCAAAATTGAAACAAAAGCCACTTCAGTATTTTAATTTAACCTTCAAAAATAAAGTAGATCTAAAGTGCCATTAACTGAGAATTCCATTCCACCTCAACACCATGTACTCCTGAGTTATTATGAGAACAGGCTGCACCACAATTCAACTCATGTTCCAAAATGCAACAAGCAGCTTCAACAGGACATGCTGAAAGCAGCAGCACGTCCCCTCACTTTCTGATTCATATTTTGGTAGCAAGGTTACAATTAGCTCACCGGTGGAGAATAAAACTATTTATAACACAGCAGTCCACCTGAAAGACACAATCATCTAAAAAGGTTTTCAGAGGAAAATGAAGTACCGCTTCTTCCTGTACTGACTGTAGGTTCCCAAGGTCCTTTTGGATGAAGTCCTCAGTCTAACCTTCCTGTGTTCACAGGCACATTCTGGCCACCTCTCAGCCTCCATGTTCTTATGTAACATTTACATAGAGCCATAAACATACCCAGAGTTGCGTAAGAATTAAAACATTGCCAAACCAATAAAACAGGTCACTCCTTCCAGACTGTCTTTGATTAGCACAGGTATGTTGCCCAGTCTACGATGTAAGAGCCTGTCAAAAGACAGAAATTAACTTGAGGAAATCTGACAGTCTACAAAAATGCACAAATAAGAAGAAATCAATCTTCTTCTATCAATCCTGAGAGTATGTTATTCTGCCCCATAAGATAAAAAGTAACCGAACAATGCTTGTTCACTGAAGTCAGAAACTATGTCTAAAAATACCTCCCAGCCAACTGGCTATCAGTAAGTCATTCTCACAAATGTCCCAATAAGAGTGACAGGGACTATGCCTTACTTTACAGAGGGAAAACTGAGGCAGTCACAGAAAGATTAAGTGATTGTTCAAGGACAACCTGTAAGGGATCGAAGTTCTGGGGCTATAAACCAGCCTCTTCCTACTACCTGGCTCTAACCTTTAACCAGAGTGGCCATTTTATTACATTTTAATCACATCTATTATTGCAAGAGCTCTTTTGACAAAACTAGTCAGAAATTCCCTTTTTCATTGCAAGAGTTCACTTTCACTGTACTTCAAATACACGTCCACGCAACAAAATTATAAGACTTGGCCTGAAATGAGTTTTTTAGTCTGCTCACAGAAATTCAAAATGTTCCTATCAGAACTTCACATGTCTCTCTTGTTGCTTTTGTCATAAGAAATGAATGTCATGTTCTCCTGGTACTAATGCATTTTTACATTTTTAAATACTAATGTGAAAATTCCAAAGCTAGGCCTTAAAACACAGTACACCTATCAACTGCATGCTATTTAAAACCTGGAACTCATTCTCCTTATCACTGGCCTTTTACAAAGTCGCGGTTAATTCACTAATTAACAGAAACACCTATTCCCTTGCTGTAGTTATGTCATGTCCAAGTACCGGGCATCACGGGCTGCCTGGCTCCGCCACTCTTCCAACCCACCTAGGGGAGCATGACAGAGGAAGTGCAGAGGAGGAAAGCAATCAACTTCTTGTTATCCCACAGCCTTTATTTTCCCAGAACTGACGTTTTACTTTAAGCCTTTTGCAACAGTGGTCTCTGTAGCATGCACCATTGGCAACTAGATGTGTCCCGGAAAAAACTGTAGCGTCTGGCCAAAAAGTTTAAAGGCCTTCGAGAATGTTTGCTGGACACACAATCTAATTTCCAATTTACCAAAAAAAGAAACTAATTCCCTATTATGACCACCCATCCTCACCCCAACAAACATCCGTTTTAGGAAAGTTACAAAAAAATGAACTCTGCCCCATTCAGAATCAGTTGGATTATCAATTAAACATTTTTAACTAGGCACACAACAACAAGAAAAGCCCCACAGACACTACACCAAATCAACAGAGAAATGGCTGTTTAAAATCTTGGATATAGTACAGACAGGATAAAAATTTCTATGGAAGGAATTTAAAGATTATTCATACACATATCAAATGACTACCTGAAGGCCAAGTCTCCTTACTGACTACCCCACTAGAGAAATAACATTACATGACACTTTCCAAAAAACATGACCCACAATAAGACCCAGCAAATGTTATTTACAAAAACCACAGTGTTACCACAAATGTTAGGCTGTGTTCATACACCTTCACCGTGTTGATCAGACCCACAGGCACATTACCGGTGCACAGGACAGCGAGACCCAAGAACACACACGAGGTGCTTAACAGAAGCATTAACTAGTGAACAAAGACCCCACTGCACAGGCTACACCACTGGGAACAAATATCAAAGCTGGAGATAATGAACTTGTTTTTGAGACTCCAAAGTGGGATGATGTCTTTTCTTGATTGTCTGGTTTATTAAAGAAGCCTGAACCCACCTGAGAATTATTATTTTTAGTGGCAAGGAGAGCCACAGAACACACACTTGATCTCCCATTGCTGGAAGGCTAGGGGCTGCTGAGAAGTCAAAGCAGCAGGCTTTGTACATCGGAGTGAATACAACCCTGATAGTCTCATCTCCCAGATCTATCCATGGGTCAATAATCACTTCAATATAACTGCCAAATATAACCTTCATCTATTACCCCAATGCCAAAACACATTTGAGACAGCTCTCTTAAATTAATTATTTTAGGTTTTCATCAGCTCTTCTCAGCCCTCCAAAGCCTCATAAACAACACACCCAGTTGAGGGTCCTACAGAAGGCACCCACCTCTATAGTGGGCAGGGAGGGGGTGGCATCAGGGAGCAGAAGGCTGTGGAGGTTGTAAGGTGAGAGGTGTGTGAGGGAGCAGGGACAGGGCTAGGAAGCGGGATGGTGTGGGAAGGTAAGTAAATACTGATCAGAGGCCCGTCCAGTGGTGGGATCTTTAAATCTTGGGGGTTGGAGGCGGGTTCTAGGATTTCACCTGAAAGGCATCCGCGAAGTGGGTAACTGAATGGGCCCCCTGGGGTGGGGGGCGGGGGGGGGAGGGGGAGGCGAGATGGAAAGCAAATACAACTAAATGCAGATTAACCATTCCGGAACTAGGTTTCCTAGGGTTAGAGAGATTCCAAAGGCAAGCTCCAAAACGGCTGAGGGGCCTGTTCGTCCCACTTCCTTCAAAGGGCTTCCACGGGGCATGTGTATTGGAGGTGGGGGGTTTGCCCCACTGAACTCAAGGGACCGCGCGAAGGGGAAATGTGACTCCCTTCCCCAAAACATGAGGGAGGAAGGAGAGGGAGGAAAAGAGAGGCCCCAAAGAGCAGGATCTAAAGGAAAGGTTAGAGACCCCTTCCCCTATCATTTGAGATGCGCAAGGACTCTCAGCATCAGGATACCTCGGAGAAGCAAAAATCCAATCGCCCCGGCCCTACAATCTTGGCGGGAGAAAAGGTGTCCCCCCAGGAGCATCTAGAGAGAAGGAATGATGACCCTCCCGCCCCTGGACAAGCAAAGGGAAAGAAACATGATCTTCAAATTTAGGGGAAAGAAACCTGCGTTCCCCTATACAGAACATGGGGGTGCTAGGAGCGCGACCCCAGAGAGCTCCATGAATCCAGCTCCGCCTGGAAGAGGACTCGGATCCCCAGGGGCCCGGCGTGAGCTCGGTCGCGGCTGAGCGGCCGAGCCTCGGGGTCGGAAGAAACCACTGGGGGTCATCCCGACTCCTCCGCGCCCCCCGCCCGGCCATATTGTGCGCGTGGGGAGGGGGCGCGCTGTA